TTTAGTCCCCTAGCAGAGACTTTTTCCTTTAGTTCCTTGTGGAGAGGGTTTTTTTCCGACTTAGTCACAAAAATACAGTGAAAATAGCATTTTGTCATCTGGCATTCAGAAACTGAATATACTCTGTGTGTGTGTGTGTATGCTCACAAAAGCATTGTGGTTCAGTGGCTTAATGCTGGAGATGCTCTTGGCTGCAGCGGTTTGAGCCCAAGCATTGCACGAGCATTGTTTGTGAGGCAGCTCTGGGAAGGGAAGGGCCCTTGGCTGATGCTGCAGGATGAGCCGCTTGTCTTTCTCTCTGGTGCAAAGCCAGCTCACCCTCCTGTGGTGCACCTTAGGAAGCGCACAAGCATTTCCTGTAACAGGGCTGGTACCTTGTCAAGCCAAACTACTACTCTGCAATAGCATTATGGTTTCCTGGCTACTGTAACAGTACCATATCCTCATTATCACCATCCTTGAAAAGGACTTGATAGACAAAAATGCCAAATCCAGTCTGAATTTTGGCCGACTGTGCAACAAACAACAACAAAAATAAGCAAGTGTGTTATTTTAGAGTATAGGTATTTAGAGTTCTGGGATGGAACTGTCAGCAGTTTCAAGGCCAATGATGAAAGTCATTTAAACATTTTGGGATCATGGAAGAAGGAAAAGCTCATGAGGTGGATTACAGGAAACTTGGATCCCCTGTCAAAGCGTCAAAGGTAAATGAAAATTACCTTTGCCCATTGCTGTTTGAGGCAAAGAATTGTGACACTACTAAATGAGTCATGCAGCAGTAGGACTAGTAAAGCCTGCTCCAAGGCAATTTCAGATTGTGGGAGGGTGAATTTCTCTTCTTACTAATTATAGTGTTGCTTCTTATTTCTTCCAGCCTTGCTCTGTCTCTCTGTATTTGAATGTGTAATTAAAGTCTCAAAAATAGCACCCACCCCTTTTGTAAGCAGCAACTAATCAGTAAACAGATTGTAGTCAGGAACAGAAATCCCATCTCCCAAGGACAAAAGGGACAAATCAGTTTTATTGATTATAGATATAATGCATTGCATTTGTCCTTAAAGTGATTATTATATACAGCTCAGATGCCCCCCAACCTTTTAATCACACTTAGGAAATACAACAGCACACCTGTGAACTATCAGCATCTGCAAAAGGAGAAATCCAGAGTAACAAGAATTGAACATTTTTAGATTGCCTTAGGAAAGTTTCTGAAGATGGGATAGGTTACTAGTCCCGTGTATCAGCTGACCAGTGACCCTTCATTAAAAGCTGAGTCTTAAATCAACCCAACTGGAAATGATTGTGGTTGATTGTTCTAATTTGCTCAGTCTTCATTTGCCTACCTCAACTGTTTTTAAAACTATGTTTCCACAATTTTTGGAGAAGCAAGAATAGGAGGTACATGATATCGAGGGCAAATAAACGAAATAGCTAAGTTGGAAAACCAGTATCTATGTTCAGTAGAATTTTATCATAATCTAATGAATTGAAGCAACATACAGCATTTAATCACTGACATTCTTTTAGTAACACTTTAATTCCTTAGACCTTTCCCTTTAGGCTTATAATGAGAGCAGGTGACATAATCTGGATTTATTGTGTGTGTGGGACACACAGAAAGAGAAAGTGCACTCATGAGTTTGTGCATATAAACATAGGCAAATCCTCGTAATAGCCTGATGATTTGGAAAGGTTTTTTTTCCCAAATGGTAAAAATTCATATGAATTGGATATCAGCTTATGTTCTGGAGATGGCCCTCCAATTACTAAAGCATATAAAATGTTACGTAAGATGAATCTGGAAGATGAATATATCAAATATTGTACGGTAAAATGGGTGAAAAACTTTGGGTACAAAATAACGCTAGATAAATGGGAAAACGTATGGACCAATGGTTTAAAATTTACTTTGAATTACAGTTTGAAATTTTTTTTTTTTATATAAAATCATATATTGTTGATACTTGACCCTAGACAGACTAGCAAAAATGTATAGAGGGATTGCCAACAAGTGTTGGAAATGTGATAAAAATCCAGGTATAATTTATCATATGTAGTGGTTTTGTAAGTATGTTAAATCATACTGGATAAACATAATAGCTTCTTTTGTGTGCAGTGGGTTGGTTGCTTGTGAAGCTGAGGATTTGGTCCTTGTGCGTAAGTTTGCAGTAGATGCTAGTTTTCAGTTCTCCATGCTCCAGTTTTTACCATACACATACCATACACATGCACACACGCATACACATCATACATACATTTCATAGGATTAAACCCTTAAATCAGTGATCCCCAACCTTTCTGGCTTTGTGGACCAGTGGAGGGGGGAGGGAGAGCAAATGGTTAAGTCTTCAGTTTTGAAGTGATTGTTCCTTAGGAGTTGGAACATCTAGTCTTGTTTTTTAGAACAATAGATAATATCCGCCATCTAGTGGACATAAGTGAAATATTTAATTAATTTGACTTTTTTTACCAAACTTGTACCTTCTAGATATGTTGGGTAGAAACTACCCTCAGGCCAGCCAGCAGTTGCCATCACCAGATTGGCATTCTCTACATACATTCCAACAGAAACTTTTAAAATAATAGATCAGGATTGTTTAGGTGAATTCCAAAAAAGCATGTTTTAGCTCATTCACAAGAAGACTCCCCACTGAAATATTTAAGAGAGCATGTTCTCATATCACCTCCATCTCATTGCTAACCCATTTCTGAAACAAGCCTGAAACTTTACATGTTCTGTGTAAAGGAAGTGGTATTTTCCTCTTATCCTGTTATCTTGACTGCCTGGAAACAGTTCAGGAATCTTAGGTGCATGGAAGATTCTTGGGATGATCCAATCTGGGTTGGTCATCTGCTCAGCTTTTTCTCTAAATGTTTACTTGAATGTTAATTCAAGCCCATATACTGTATGTATGTGTGTTTTAGAATTTGTTATTTGTACTGTTATTTGTATTTAACTTTATTTAGTTATCGGGTTTGGGGGGTTAGTTTACTTGCATATATTTCAATATTTGACTAAGTAACATAATTAGAGCTACTGAGCATGGGGTTTGCTCCCTCTTCATATACTTCTGTATATTTGCTCTGCTAGTGCTGGTGAGGTTTTTTTCTTGGTAGTGCCTCAACTAGGATATTGTTCTGCTTGATTGTTCCTTTAGTGTTAATCCTTGGTTATCTGGATGTAGGCTGCTGGAGACGTTGTGTTCTGGACTTCTTTCTTGGCTTTTTTATTGTCTTTTTCGAATGGTTTGTCAATGTGTTCTATCTATGCATCTATTGATGACTTGATTTATCTGAGCGCCAAGCTTCTAGGAATTCTCTTTTTGCATTTGACTTGGCCTAGAATGGTCAGTTTCCCAGTTGAAACTCTGGTTCTCCGTGTATTAAGGATTTTTCATTGTCTTCTGCTAGTTGGTGTTCATGCATGTGCTCAGTTAGTCTTCTGCCCATTTACCCTACAAAATTCCTATCATCTCCACCAGAGGTGGCTTTCAGCAGGTTCTGATCAGTTCTGGAGAACCAAATTCTGACAGGCCCCACCCCCATCTATTATCTGCCTCCCAAGTCCCAGCTGATTGGAGGAAATAGGGATTTTGGAGGAACCTTCCCCTGGATTGGAGTGGAATGGAGATTTTACAGTATCCTTTCTCTGCCACACCACACCCACCAAGCCACATCCTCAGAACCTGTAGTAAAAAATTTTGAAACCCACCACTGATCTCCACCCAGCGTGCTCTTCCAGCTTGCTGAGATAAGTGTTAACTGGTGTCACACATCTGGTGACCACCCAGTTTGGGAACCACCCATTATTACTTTTCGAAAGTGGGAGTCAATTTCAGTGACTAAGACTGTGCATTGTGGGCATGCATGTCTTGAATGAAACGCCTTGTAATTTTTTTCAAGGTTGAATCCAGCAACATTCAGCGCTTTTCCCAGCTTTCCCAAAACTGATTTTTCTCCCCTAGGTTGCTTTCATTAACAGTTCTCATGAGAACGTTGATGTTGGTGTTAGTGAGGTGTTTTATTTTCTTTATAACAAATGAGTTTTCTTAGAAGAAATATCTTCGGGTTTTGTTTTCTTAAAGTATACTTGCAAGGAAAGGTCTCGATCCTCCCCTCGTAATCAGGTGCGATAATCCCAAAAGCAGAATGGGATTAATCAATGCCCTGACACATGTGAATTAAAGTTTGAAACGCTCATTGTGATCCAAGGAAGGAGAGAGAGGGTGATATTTTTAAAATCTGTTGAGGTCTGCCGGCAAAATAAAGCAGTCTATTCGATAGTGCGGACTGACTCCGGCGCAAAGGCTGTCGGACAGAGGTCTTCAACCTTGGCAGCTTTAAGACTTTGTGGACTTCAACTCCCAGAATTCTCCAGCCAGCTATGTTGTAGAACAGAATTCTGGGAGTTGAAGTCCACAAAGTCTTAAAGCTGCCAAGTTTGAAGACCTCTGCTGTATAATACCCGAGACTCCTCGTGATATACAGATTATAGTTGAATTACCAAAACCCAAATTAAAACGACGCTTTTTTTTTTATGTCTCTCAAAGCCCTAAACTGCAACGAAGTCCTTTGTTTCCTTCATGGGGTGGTTCACACATATTCCTCGACCGTCTCGAGAACCCCTAAAACAAGCCGGTGTCTTTCTTTCGTAAAGCCGGGACCAGCCTCTAGACCCGCCAACCGTTTCGCGGAACGTGAAGGGCTCCTCTGGAAGAACCAGATCGGAACCCCCCCCCCCCCATCCCGCTCCCCTCGCGCCGTCATCCTCCACCGACGACTTTCAAAAGCCCTCACGGCCGCCGAAGAACGCCAAGGCGCAGGCGCGCTGGCGGGGGCATTTCCTTGGCCAATCTCTTTCTCGCGCAAGGGGGCGGAACTGCGGCGGCTCCACCCACCGGCGGTTGACGTACTCTCGTACTCGGAACCCCCTTTCGCAAGAAGGGGAAAAGAGCCGAGCGTGCTTGCTAGAACGTTCTTGCGTTTCTTTCTTCTTCTTCCTCCTCACCCCCACCCCCAGTTTTGTGACGCAACACGATGCCCCGCCTCTTCCGCACCGGCAGTTCTCTTCTACAATCGTGCGTGGTCACGTGCTTCGCCGCTCAGAGGAGAAGCGGCTGGAGCGTTTCGGGTCAGCCGGGCTTCTCGTCGCGGGGACCGGCGGCGCACCAAGCCTTGAGCCGCCGGCTCCTCCGCTTTCCGTCCCGCGGCTGCCTTAGCTCCGTCGCCATGAAGAACCTGCCGTACTTCTGCCGCGGAGAGGTGGTGCGAGGCTTCGGGCGGGGCTCCAAGGAGCTGGGCATCCGCACAGGTGAGCGCTGGGGGGGACCGGGCGCCGCTCCCGGGGAGTCGGGAGGAAAGACGGGTGGCGGCACTTCCTTCTCTTCGACGTCCCTGCCGGGTTCTTCTGGCGACCAACGGGGCGGGTTTTTTTAGGGGGGGGAGGCTTTCCGCTCTCTTTTTGCTCGGGTATCCAACCTTGTCCACTTTAAGACTTGGGGACTTCAATTCCCAGAATTCCTCAGCCAGCTTTGCTGGCTGAGGAATTCTGGGAGTTGAAGTCCCCAAGTCTTAAAGTGGACAAGATTAGAGACCCCTGCTGTAGTATAAGCGGAGCTGGGCTTGTGGGTTTTTTTTGGGTCTGGTAATATGAAATCCCGTTCAAAGTCCAGCTCAGCCCCTTCCTGTAGATAGCGCTTGTGGAGTTTTTATTTTTGGCCAGAGTACAAAACGACTTCATTTTTTATTTGATTTTTTTTTATCCCACAGTGATTACTTTATAAATACAGGTAGTCCTCGACTTAACACCAGTTCACATAGTGGCCGCTCAAAGTACAACTGGACTGGGGGGGAAAAAAACACATGACTGTTTTTCGCAGAGACGACTTTTGCGGCGTCCCCGCGATCAAAATTCAGATGCTTGGCAATTGGTTCATACTTAATGACGGTTGCAACATCCAAGGGAGTCGTGGGATCCCCTTTTGCAGCCTTCTGAAGGGCAAAGTCAACGGGGAAGCCGGATTCACTTAACAACCAGGTTACTAACTGATCGACTGCAGTGACTCACTTAACAACTGTAGCAAGGAATGGGGCAACAGATGGCTCACTTCACAACGTAAATGTTGGGCTCAATTGTCATAAGTCGAGGACTATCTGTAACTCAAAGTGGTGAACTCTCTCCTCCTCTTCTTTCCTTACAACAACCCTGTGAAGTGGGTTGGGCTGAAAGAGAGCCACCGGCCTTCTGCTTAAAATGAGACTAGAACTCACAGTCTCCTGGTTTCTAGGCCGGCACTTTAATCGCTACACCAAACCGGTCTAATTTGCCACAGACTAAGAAGAGGTATTGTGGGCTCCCAAGGAAACTTAAAACCAGGGATGGGTTCTACTTACCTTTACCACAGGTTTGCAATGGGATTACTCTTGCTCGCTTGCTTCGCTCGTGCACCTTGTTTCTGCGCATGTGCAGATTGCTGATGATGACATCCGGGGCAGTGGGTGGGGCCTCCTCCCACCAGTTTTACTACTGGTTCTTGCAAACCGGTCCAAACCGGGGGGCAACCCACCACTGCTTACAACCCGCATACTTTCTGGTATTCCATTGTCCCAATTACCTTGCCTAAATTCCTCCCCAAGCAACAGAATCACTCCAATTGTTTGGATTAAAACCATTTCCATAAGGGATATTTTGTGATTATTTAGAATCTGGCTTCCACATCTAATGGAAAGCGGTAGTAGCACGTAGGTTTTTAACAATCCTGGTTTGAAACTGCTCACTATAATGTTCCTAATTCTCAGTTGGTAGTCCTAAATGGTAATGGACTACTTAGATGCAGTTATATGACGAACATGGGCACATTCATGAACTTTCCACTCCTTTTGCTTTAAAAGAGCTAATGTAACACAAGTCATGTTACAAGATATGGTTGTGTTAGGTAACATACCTTCATTATGTTATAGGCTTGGCACTGGGTTTTTTTTTCTAACCAAGATAAATATATATGTAAATTACCAAATTGCAAAACAACAAAAGTTCCTGGAAGTTCAAATGCAGCCTGGCCTTCTTGTTGAGTGTGTGTGCATGTCTGTATTTGAAGAGTGGCCTAAACATTAGTGTAACTTACCTTAGATATATTTAGACTACCCTAAGCTACAGTCAACCTCACCTGGATCATAGTAAGATATTATTAATATAAGTGTATGTGTTGATCTAAGACTTTTCTGCCTGCTCTTTTTGCACGTGCTATGGGTTATTTTAATGGTCCATATAAATGTTTTGTTTTTCAGCTAACTTTTCCGAAGAAGCGGTTGATAGTTTCCCATCTGATATCTCTACTGGCATATACTATGGATGGGGTTGTGTTGGAACTGGAGATGTGCATAAAGTGGTTTTGAGTATAGGTTGGAATCCGTATTACAAGAATGTTAAGAAATCAGTGGTGAGTATGTTGTGTGTTAATATCTTAAAACTAGCTCAGGATCTGATCAATATAAATTTATTTTTGGACAGTTTTTGCAGGAACTTTTACTTACCATTAATATAAACATTTACCAGGATTTGTTTAATGACACTTATTCTTGACCATTGTGAGTAAACTTTCAATAAAGTGAATTCATTATTAAAAACTTATTCAATACGGAATATACTAATTCCTTTATTCTATAGAATGTTAATATTTTACATATTGTATAATTGAGATTTTTGTAACAGAAATATTATCAGGTAACCTCCGACTTATGATCACAATTGAATCCAAAATTTCTGATGCTAAATGAAACATTAGGTGAATACGACCTTTCTTGCCACAGTTGTTAAATGAATCACTGCAGTTGTTAAGTTAGTAACACGGTTGTTAAGTGAATCCAGCTTCCCCATTGACTTTGCTTGTGAGAAGGTCACAAAGGGTGGTCACATGACTCTGCGACCGTCATAAATATGAGTCAGTTGCCAAGTGTCTGAATTTTGCTCACCTGACTATGGGGATGCTGCAACAGTCATAAGTGTGAAAAACAGCCCTAAATCACTTTCAGTGCTGTTGTAACTTTGAATGGTCACTAAATGAACTGTTGTAAGTCGAGGACTATCTGTACAGGTAGTTCTTGCTTAATGATCCTAATTGGAAATGGAATTTCCTTTCCTAAGTGAAACAATTGTTATGCAAAACATCATATGATCACAGCACTTACCAATGGCAGTTTCAGAGGTTCCAGTTGTGATATTTAGGCAAGGGCTGTGTGATTGTTAGTCCAGGAGCTCACACTTCTCCTGCACTCACCTTTGTTTTAACTCCTTTCATCCATTTATCTCCCCACCCCCACCCCCCCAATTTATGCTCTTTTGGACACCTTGCACTCTTCTGTTTATCCCTGTCATCCCCTGCTAATCTTTGCTGTCTTCACTTCTTGCTGCCGGCAAGTTGCAGTCCTGGGATGTGTGCAGCAGGGCAGGGGAGCTTTCTCTGCCTTGCGGTGCGGAAGTGAGTCATGGGGTGCTCCATCAGTGGGCAAGATGAGACAGATTGTAGCTCCCTGGGCAAAGGTGGAGGCTGTGAGGAAGAGGTTGTTCAGGGTAGTTGCGGAAATAAAGAAAATGGAGGATGAGGGCTTCTTGGAAGTGCAACGCATGCTTTACAGCTCACATTAGGAGCAGTACTGGAGAGCCAACCTTCAGGGCCAGCAATGGGTTGGAGGCGAGCCCAGCACTGGCAGAACCTATTCACACACTCTGCTTGTTCTTGCCCTAACCTGCCTCTTGTAAAGGCTCCTGCAAAATGTGGGCAGGCTACAAAGCATCCAGATTTTGATAATGGGACCACAGGATCGCATGCAACAGCAAGAACTTTGAGTACCAGCCATATAATATGCTCAGTGCTGTCCTCACCTGGAACAGTGGTTGAATGGTCATTAAGCAAGAACTATCTGTATTCTGTATAGAAATAAATAGTTGTTTTGGTTTTACTCATATTTAAAACTTGTAAAAATAAGTATGTCTTTATTTCAGTGCTTTAATATATACATAAACAATTGTTTTTAGGAAACACACATCATTCACACCTTCAAGGAAGACTTTTATGGGGAAGTGCTCAGCATAATCATTGTTGGTTATATAAGACCAGAACAGAACTTTGATTCTTTAGGTAAGTCTTGAGTATTTGAGTATTTGTTTGACACATGATAGTGCCTACTAATAAGAACAGGTATTTAGTATCATTACTATACAACAGGAGTTCTTAAAATTTAGGTTGCTGAGGCAAAGAATGTGAAAGAACGTTTATACCTGTATTGGTTTGGGTGAAATTGTAGATCAGAAACATTTTCTTTCTGAAGAAAATTTGCATTTGCAACATCTGCCTATGGTGCACATTAATAGAAGCAGAAAAATATGGAAAATTGCAATTATCTGGGTGTAAAAACACTACCTAACATAAATCTCAGTGTGAGTGATAAATTGCATTGTACTAGGAACAAGAAGCTCCAGTCTACTGGCAATGTAATGCTGGAAGCTTACATTTCTCAGCCCAGTCTACTTCACAAAATCCATCTTGACTTCCTGGAGAAAATATATAAGTTGTGTTTATAATTCAGTAATGTCGTGTTTTGACATTATAGACTCAGGACTTTTTCCTTGCTCTGTTTCTACTTCCTCTTTGGCAAAGTATGAGTTACGCAAACTATAATTGAAAGCTACATTGTTTTGAATTCTTTTAACTATTTCCTCAATTCTCACCTTTTATCGATAGAAAAAGCAACATACATAGAGGCACTCTCAGACTATAACTCACTCAGTTTAGGTATGAAAGAAACTTGTAGACAGCAGATGCTTTAAATATTTCATCTTGAATCAGGCATTTATCAATATTATGTACTTCGGAATTTTAGTGATTCACAGGTGATTTAAGTCTGGCCCATGATGGGTGAGACAATAACAATGTTGGGGCAATGGGGATGGCAGCGGCAGCCTTGGGGGATGGGCAGTGGCATCACTGGGCAGCGCTGTGACCTTCCGCAGCAATCCCAGTTTGTCATGTGGCCCCTTGAGAAAATCAAATACCTACCCCTGCTTTAGAAGTAGTTAATGTTTTATTTTTTCCTCTACAGATGCACTTATAACTGCTATTCAACATGACATTGACGAAGCTAAAAATCTACTAGATTTGCCAGAACACCAGAAGTTTAAAGATGACAACTTCTTTCACAGAGCAAATGTTCACAGTATGACTAATGGTCATTAAATATTTCCCTTTCTTTATTTTCACTGCAGTTATTTAAACTGAACTGATCTTCCCATGTTTTTAATAGAGAAGACTGCTCTGCTCTTTAGGATTGTTATTCTGTTACATTACATTAAAATGGTTAGTGATTCTCTAAAAGTAACACTTTTTGTTTTTTCAAAACAAGGGCAATGTAGCTTGACAAATAGAAAGTGCAATCTCTTACATGTTGTTAGAGCCATCTAACTGCAGACAAAAGTTTGTTTCCTAAATGTTTCTAAATATTTCTAATGATTGCTATTTATTTAATTAATAATGCCCATGCTGGATATTTTTGTAGTGAAAGATTTCCAATGGAAAAGTAGAAATGGTATCAGTAATTTTACTGCCTGAGTAATTGTCCTAGTGGCTTTTAATTGTTCATTTGAAACATTAGCTGGATTCATTCGAAGCCTTTTTTAATCACTTTAAAATAGGATTTAAGCCCTCTGTGGCTGAATTACGCTATTAATTTCAGTGGGAATAAAAGCATAATTTAATTTCTTCTGCCTTCAACCGAGAATTCCTTGATATTTATATAGCCTATTTATTTCACTGTTTTATCGTACAGTATAGAATAGAAAGCCTTGATCTTAAGAGAGGCATCTGAACTTGGAACAAACCTTTATTTTTGCAAAAGCTCCCTTACTTTTGATGCAACTTGGCTATTACAAAGCAGCCTTTCATTTGATTAAATGCTCCTTCAATTTGCTTGGGAAGAAATGTGATGAATTTGAGTCTTTATGTTGTATGTCCAGGTAGGCTCAACTTACAAGCACAATTGGGACCAGAATGTCAAAGTGGTTGTCAAGTGATATGTCATGTGACTGCTTCAGTTAACCACTGTAATTGTGGCACTCCAAGTTGTGGTCATTAAGCAATCTCATGGGTGGTTAGGTGGACTGATTCACAAGGAGCATGGGGGGACTTTGGGTTAATGGAGACCCTAGGAGGCTATGAACAGGCAGTGGGTGAATTGGGTGTTGCTGTAGGGCAATGCAAGCCCAAAGAAAGAAGCTGTAGCCACCCCTGGAAGCCACAACTGCAAAATGCCTGGGAAGTTGCAAGAGCACAGCACAAAACAGCCACCCCTCATAAACAAAGGGCTGAATACACAGTGGTGTACAAAGCAGCTACCCTGTAGAAAGTGCCAATTAGAGGGAGATAGGTTGGTAGTTGCTGTTACAATGCCCCTGCAGTCATAGGCTGCCAGGTGTCTACAAGGCCAGTGCAATACCTATAACTTCGGTTGGGGGTCACAAATCCCTTTATTCAGTGCTGTTGTAACTTTGAATGGTTGCTGAACAAATGGTTGTAAGTCAAGGACTACCTGTAGGTATGTGTTGTGTGTCTGTGTATGTTCACATACTTGCATATATGTATGTGCAGTCAATTCTTGTTATTCACAGAAGTTACATTCTAAAAGTAATAAATGCTGATTTACTAACTATTGAATCATTGCTTCTAGGGGAAATGCAAAGTACTTTTGTAGTATGGGAAATGAAATAAAAAGGCAAAGTATCACTTTATCAGCCTCAGTGGGAACATGCATGTCAGGCGACTCACATTTTTCACTGCTCTGAGCATGTCTCCAAATGACTGCAAAACTGCCATGAGTATTTGGCATTACGTATACATTTCAGTGCATAGGTGAAATTGTAAATATGAAATCTGCAAATAATCAGGATAAACTGTGCACATGTATTTGTGTCTGCATACTTGGGTTATAAGCTGCTATAAAGTGTATGTGTATATATGCAGATGTGTATTAGTATATAACTAGCATTCCTAACATGTTCCTGTTTCATAGCTTTCATAGCATCTCTGTCAATATAGGGATTTGCTTGTCCAAGGACATTTATATGCTTGGAAAAACAAAACAAAACACCAGAAGCTTATTACCAAATTATGTTTTTTTCCCCTGCTTATATTTTTCATTTTGATACATGTTTTTATGTAAAATGCAACAAAAATTCTTTTAATTAAATGTTAATTGGATTGGTAAATGTTGGAAAATGGAATGTGCATTTAATCGAAAAGTCTGATCTGGAAACATGTACACTATGTGTATGGAGAATAAAGTGGAAAATTCAGTTGATTGCACTTTGATGATTTTACAAATGCATTAATGGGTACCAGCTTCTAGGGATTGTGTAGAACATTTGAATCTTATTTATCTGTAGGAAAAAGCTCACACTGAATATATGTAAATAAATGGATTAGGGGAAAGACCACCCTAAATATATGTTCGCTGCATGACCATCGTGAATTGGAAGTCTTGTGTCAGTTAAGAGGCCCCAGATTGTTCATTTACAGGGAATCCTGAATTCTATTTTTCATGGTTCAAATTTTTATTATTTCATACTTTCTTACCATTAAACTTTAGAGACTTGGATTCTTCTTATTTTTATCTTGGTAAAGTGCCCATGTTTTCTCTCTTTACCCACTCTGCATATGCAGTCCTAGCAGTATCAAGGCTTTACAGATAAGGCAGATAATCCTCAATTTATGACCATTTGTTTAGTAATAGTTTCAGGTTCAATGGTGCTGAAAAATGACTTAATTTGCTGTTCTTTGCACTTAGAAAGCGTTGCAGCTTCTCTGCAGTCATGGGATCAAAATTTGGATGCTTGCCTACCAGTTTGGACTTATAATGGTTGCCACATTCTGTGGTCACATGATCACCATTACTTAAATATTTGCTTAATTACTAGCAAAAAAAGGTTGTAAAATTTGGTGTGACTCAGTGACCACATTGCTTAGCAGCAAAAGTTCTGGTTCCAAATGTCATAAATCAAGGACTACCTGTGCATATTTGTTTGTAGCTTATTACAATCTAGGACTGCCACTCATTTCAACTTGTGTGCCAAAGAATATCTTTTTCAGACTGCTGATGGGCTGTGTACCTACAGGTAGTCCTCAATTTAAAACAGTTCATTTAGTGACCGTTCAAAGGTACAACAGCACTGAAAAAAGTGACATGACCATTTTTCACATTTGCGCCATTGCAGCATCCCCATGGTCACATGATTAAAATTCAGGTGCTTGGCAACTGATTCATATTTGTGACGGTTGAAGTGTCCCAGAGTCATGTCATTGCCTTTTGCGACTTTCTGACAAGCAAACTCGATGGGAAAACCTGATTCACTTACCAACCATGTTACTTAACAACTGCAGTGATTCGCTTAATTGGGGCAAGAAAAGTCATAAAATGGGACAAAACTCACTTAACAAATGTTTTGCTTAGCAACAGAAATTTGGGCTCAATTGTGGTCACAAGTTGAGGACTACCTGTATAGCCATCTCCAAAATGTTTCAGTGCAAAGAAATCTTTTTATCTGGGTGGGACGTCTCAACTGTGTAACCTCCTGAATCTTGCAACTTTCAAAATGCTTTTGTTTTTTACACAGTTCAGTAATGAGTAGAACTGGGGGAGGGATTTCTTGTGTCAGCAAAAAAATTGAAGTTGTCTTATAAGCAATTTGGGACCACAATAATTGGTAATAAAGTTAACAGATTTTCAGCACTGTTGTTTTTCCCTCTTCCTCCTCATGCTCAGCATGTGGCCTTACTAGCTCCATAAATACGAATGTTAAGAGATCCCAGACATAATTGAATATACTGTTGGCAGTGTATATTTGTCAATTGTTTTGTTACTTTAGAAAGTGCCTTCTGACAGGGTTACTTTGTGAGACAAATTGCTAACCTATCAATCATGACATGCATATAAATGATTGTTTAAGAGAAAATGTCACTGACAAAACACAAAGTTTTGGAAGCAGCAAGTACAAACCAGGAATCAAATATATTGAACAGCATATGGAATCAAATGAACATGTATTGAATTCTGCCTTTTTATATATAGAGATAAGCAATTTTAAATTTATCATTGTGATTTTATTAAGTTTTATTTTTCTATTAATTTCAACAAATAAAAAAAGAAAGAAAAGCTATATGTTTTCTATTTATTTTTCACTCCACACAAAAATTGAAAAATGGGTCATTCCATGTCAAGTGGTCTGATTTCAGAAAAGTGCCCAGATCGACCATCATGGATTTTGATGAAATTTGATGTGAACATGCACATACATCCCCAATGAACATTGATAAAGTGTTATGTTTGCCGATGCAATACTTGCTGAGATATAGTCAATTTTATGACCCCATACCGCAGCCTTCTACAGTATGACACTGAGATTTCAGCAACTTCTGAGACATAATATCTCCGGCAATATTTTGTTGAAAGAAACAAAATGTGGCCATCTTGTACAACTTGTTGTGCTCTATTAAACAAAATAATAAAATTCTCATGAGGGATATCCATCTAGATAATAGGGAGCAAAGTTGGCCAAAAATGACTGTGGCGCGAAAAAAGGGTAAAGTTTGGCTTCTTATATCTCTAGAAGGAAAGGTATGAGAAACATGAAACCTTGTGCGTAATAACGTAGCAACACAAGGTTGTCGAATATAAAATTTCATTCTACTGCTTTCCAATAGTTCATAAATTGAGTGTAAAGTCGGTTTGTGAAAAAATGCCAAAAAGGGTATTTTCAGTCCCATTTTTACAAAAAAAACCCACCTGGGAACTGTTAAATCATTCTCATTAGAAAGAGCATGTTTCAACCCCCCTAAAAAAGTAGAGTTGGTGTTTCATTGCTGATGTATAAAGCCTTAAAAATAGGGACAAAGTGGAGGAAGTTGCTATGGCAGCGTCACAGGCATTCTATTGTTTTGTCTTGTTTGTTTTATATAGACATCATTACTACTATTATATTGCATTGGTCCATGGTGAAATTGTCACTACCAGTTTAGGCACTGGACCCAGCAACCCCATCACCATAGGGGGCACACCTGATAGCCATGCAATACCAGCCATGGGTGGTTTTCTTGGTTCAGGATCCCAAGCCTGTAGTTTGGTTTCTTCCTCGAGGTTCGAAAGCCTTGTGTGGGTATCTGTCCGGTTCCCAAGGTGGCAGTTGGGCAGCTTATCCTAGGTTCCGAAGCCTAAAGTGGGTATCTTATATGGTTTCCAAGCTGAAGTCCATACTGTTCGTATGAACTGCCAAATTCCAATGATCGCTTATTATTGAATTTATGCACCGCATTCTTTAGCATTGCTTCTGGGAATTGATACTGTCGACCTGACAATGTAACTGAAGGCGCTGGAAGCACACAAATAAGATGTGGTTCTGGAACCCAACAAACATCTTGTCTTTCAGGCCAATAAAATGAATGAGCAGGGCCTCGCGGATGCATAAATGTTACCAATGCATCATTTTGTTCGATCGAAATTTCCACGATGTTGCCTACCCACCATTTTTTGTCATAAATGCAGGCAACATAACAACTAGGAAATAGGTCAGCCAATTTTAAATTCGGATCGACAGTATTGGACATTTTCGCCACAAAGTTAATCGTGTCATTTGAAACTTTGCTGACAGAAATTGAATTTGAATCAACTGGCACAAACTGGTGATGACCTCTTGTGCCAGCTATTGTGCTGCTAACTTTCCATCTTTCTTCTTGCAGCATCCTGCTTTCTTCAATTTCTTCTTTCGGAACGTATATATATTTAAGTCCGTGAATGTTTCACCATGTGATTTTGTTTCACCAAATCACTATGTGATGGAGTTCGTGGCGCGACTAAACGTTTGGCTGCTCAAGCCAGGATGTCTGCACTCTGCAGCCAGATAGGATGGGAGGGTGGCGAGAGCGGTGGTGACGGCCCCTTCCACACGCAGCACAGGAAGGCAACAAATGCAGGCAAGGCGGCCCTGGTGTGCCTGTTGCAGAGGTGTGGTGATTGCTCGGCCAGGGCGGCCTCAGCTAGGGCTGCATCTGCCCGCGCCACCGTCCAGGCCAAAGGGAAAGCTCCGCGGGCTCCGCGGTGGTGTGGCCGACCCTGGCCCGCTCCCCGTGGTTCCCAAAGAGGTGCTGGCAGGCAAGTGGCTGGGTGGGAATCCAGTGGGCTGCCCCAAGCCGCGTGGAGCCAGTACGGGAGGCATGGGTGGAAGGCTGCCTGATCCCCTCTTTGGATCGCCCTACATGGGGGGACGGATGGACACTCTGCCTTTGCAGAAACGGCGGGCGGTTTGTATGATTGGCAGGGAGGGATGTGTGGCCCTCCAGGATGGAGAGCGGGGCAAGAGAAGGCTCCAGTGTTACAATGTACTTCAAAATGTGCTGGCTCTAACAGTGAGTGATGTCAAGTTGGCCATGCCTACCCGGTCATATGATCACCAAGCCACATCCATCAAGCCATGCCCACAGAACCGGTAGCAAACATTTTTACATTTCACCCCTGCCCTAAACTGAATGCAATACATAACCCTAATGCTAGCCCTAATCCAAACTCTTAACATAAAGTGTAACCCTAACCTTAATCCTAATCTATACTCTAACCCAAGCCCTAAATTCAAATCTAACTGGATTGCTATGCCAAACTCTAAGCCTAACTTGATTTCTAACCTTAACCCTGACTGGATTTTCATCCCAATGGGGATTTTCCATGTAATTTATGAGGAAACTAAGATAATAGGGATTCAAATTGTGAGAGGTCTCTTCAGCACAATGAGGCTCTCCAAATCAGCATGGATTCCTGGCAATTGCCTGAACCACTCCTTGAAGTTTTCTTGGCCAGATTTTGCAATAGTTTGCTTTGGCCGCCTTTCTAGGAGAGGGCTGTGTGGAAACCTGAGTGACAGTAACAGGTCCAAAGTTGCCCAACTGGCTTTGTGTCAAAGGTATGACTAGAACAGTTTCCAGGATTCTAGCCTGGTGCCTTAATTATTTCAACAAACTGGCTCTTTCATATTCCTTTTAACTTTTTTTAAAAAAAAACAACCTTAAATTAAATTGGCAGTCATCCAAAAGTTTCCAAAAGTTGCCTATGGTTTTATTACAACAGAATGGTATTTGATATTTGGATCATTCCATGTCAAGTGGTCTGGGGCTCCCAGGTCGACCATCACAGATTTTGATGAAATTTGGTGTGAACATGCACACACGTCCCCAATGAACATTGGTAAAGTGTTATGTTTGCCGATGCAATACTTGCGGAGATATAGTTATTTGTATGATCCCATACCGCAGCCTTTGACAATATGACACTGAGATTTCAGCAACTTTGAGACATAATATCTCTGGCAATATTTTTTTGAGAGAAACAAAACTTAGCCATCTTGTACAACTTGCTGTGCTCTATAGGGGGCAAACATCTTCTCTTTCAGGCCAATAAAATGAATGAGCAGGGCCTCGCAGATGCATAAATGTTACCAACAGCGAAACGAAAGCGAACGGCGGCGGAGTTGCTTTGGGCAGGCGGATGTCTGCACTCTGCAGCCAGACAGGATGGGAGGGTGGCAAGAGTGGCGGCGATGGCCCCTTCCATGCGTAGTGCATGGAGGTGACAAAGGTGGGCAAGGCGGCCCTGGCGCTCCTGTTGCTGTGGAGGTGTGGCGATCGCTCGGCCAGGGAGGCCTTGGCTGGGGCTGCATCCACCCTTGCCACCGCCTAGGCTGAAGGGAAAGCGCCGCAGGCTCTGTGGAGGCACGGCCGGGCCTGGCGAAGGCAGGCAGCAGTGGTGGTGGGGGTAGACCTTACTTGGGCTCTCCCGCCATCACGGAACTGCGCCGCACCGGAGAGTTGTCCTGCCGACAATGATCCTCTGGGCGCAGCGAGGGAGGGGCGAAGCGAGGCTGCATTGAATGTCAGTGCGGAGGCGGGGGTGGGGGGAAATGACTCCTCCAAATATCAGCAGGCTGAACTGCTTATGTGTCAAAGCCACAGTTGGTCACCTGAAGTTCACCCATGAGGGGGAGCGAGAGGAAGGGAAAGCGAAGATTGTGGTGGGTGGCTTCTAAGGAGGGGTGGTTGTGTGCGTGGGATGTGAGCGACCATGCCCTCATTGCAGGGGAAGAGGCGATTGATTACTGGTTCATAATTAACAAGAGTTGATAGAGGGACTGATTCCCAGGCTACCAAAGCGCCTCCTCCCACTTTTTTCTGCCTGCCACTCTGTCCTACGCTCATAGCAACTTCTTCCTCTCTCCTGCCATCGCTCCCCCCCTCCCACAGCCCAGAATATAGGATCAGCCTGGCACACATGATCTGGGCCTGAGGTAGGGAAAGGCAGGTCATGGCATGGAACTTGGGGAACGCATATGCGCAGCCTTTCTTTTCCTTGCCACGTAAACTTGGAGGCCAAACAGAAGGAGCCCTGGGTCGTTCTAAAGGTCTTTTAAAGCCTGTGTGTTTGAGTGTGTGTGTGTCTTTGCTCCTTTGACTCCTTGCGTCAGCAGCCCATGCCTGACGTACACACACACACACACACACACACACACACACACACACACAACACACACAAGTCGTGCACACAGCGGTACTGGTGAGGTTTTTAACGAGCAGTGCAGGAAGCAGACTTGCCTTCACAGGTACAAAAGCTTCTTCCAAATGGAAAAACGCCAGGAGCAAGCAAGTGTTTCTTTTTGCACTTGCTCCTGGCGTTTTTCCACTTGGAAGATGGAGAGGAGGAGGAAGAAGAAGATGAGGGCGACAATCCTGGGCGCGTGAAGCAAGACATGAAAATCTGCAGCAGGAAGCTCGGGGTGAGTGAAAAGCGGGAGCAGCCGAACGCTTTGTTTCTCCGGAACCAGTAGTAAAATAATGCTTAAAAACTAAAAAAAAAAAGGTTCCGACCATCGGGCATCGCTCAGCTGATCATCGGAACTTTTTTTTTTTTACTTTTTAAGCATTTTTTTACTACCGGTTCTCCGGAAGTAAAAGCAGGAAGTAACGATGACTGGGAGGGTGGGTGGAGCTTCATGTCGCCATCGCTACCAGTTCTCCGAACCACCCACCACGATCGGTACCAGATCAGCCGATCTGGTCCGATCCGGGAGCATTTCACTCCTGGTTTAGGGTTAATGTTCTGGTTACTGTTAGGATTAGGATT